GGTCATAGTCGCATGATAATGAAGACATCTAAACAGGCAGACAATTAAGTAAAAACGCGGGTTACTCACGTGAATATACTGAGAAAAGCTCTACTAGTTTCGAACCACAGAGGGGTTCTTCCTCATGAGCAGCGTGCGTAGTTGCGGCGACGTCGCGCAGCTCACTGAAACATATACACATAGTTCGAAACTAGTAGAGCTTTTCTCAGTATATTCACGTGAGCAACCCGCGTTTTTAGTTAATTTAGTATGTCTCACGATAGTTATTATAGGCAGACAATTGTTAATTAACAATAGGTTTAGTAATTGTTAATTCAAAATTAATGACATAACATGTCGTGGTGGCCCGGAGGTTTAAGACGCCCGCTTCTCATGCATGAGAGTGCTTCGAAACCTACCAAGGAAAAGTACCAATGTGACTTCTTCCGAGTTATATGTACTTTCTAAGATTATACCTCTATAGATATAACATAACATAACATCACGCCTTTTACGCCCCGATGTAGGCAGAGGTGTACATTATGCCACTGTACAATGTATCACCCATTTTCCACTATTTATGTTATGAGCCCCATGTAATAGGGGGTGACCCTATTACCATATACCGGGCACAATTCCAGACTACGTGTTACTACTATGAATTTTTTGAAAAACTCAGTTTTACTTACCAACCTGCATTGAGCATGCATGGTCATTAATGCTCAAACTTCGAGCGAGAAGAGGCTTTTGGTCAGCAGACACTAATAGGCTGTTGATGAAAATTAATATAACATAATTCAGCCAAACCTACCAGATTATAAAATTATTGTCATCGAACTCTCTCTGCGGGAATCGAACCCGCGATATTAAGGAAGTGCAGTAAATGAAATGTGTTTGGTTATTATTATTTTTTTATATTTGATGGGCTGACGATTGACCACTATCTCGCCTGCAGGTGCACGATGATGCCGCCTACGATTGAGCACGTCGTCCCATAAGCAACCTATTCACTCGGGCCTCGAAGACACCCAGGTTATACCCCTCAGGAAAGTTGTATATATGATTCCTAGCTTTTACCCGCGGCTTCGCTTGCGTCACAAAAGGATAAAAGTAGCCTGTGACATAATAATATACCAATACACACAGCGCCATCTATACCAATACTTTTGTTTTCCCTCGGGAATATTATATTTTTTCCGGGATAAAAAGTATCCTATTATTTAATCCGGACTTCTAACTTTACGTCTGCAAAAATTCAAAGCGATCGAATAGTAGTTACGGTGTGAAAGCGGAACAAACAAACAAACTCACTTTCCGATTTATCATATTAGTAAGGATAATTCTGGATGGTATAATAATAATTAAGGAATAAAACAAATGAGTAAAGATTAAAATTTGTATATTGGTACTTCGTATATTTTTTCATTTACATTTTGAGTCGATAAGAATTAATAGTTAATCGTATAGTCTTAGACGATTTTAGTAATTATAATTATATTTTTTATATAAAGAACTATATAAACGTAACGCATTCCGAATTTTTTATATTTTATATATTAAAAATCAAAATATAACAAATACTATATAGATTATTATGCTACAAGTATAAATAGTTTTTTATTAATTTAGAACATTTTTTATTGAACAAGTTACTAAATACACAGGATAGCCACCTATAAGTTATTTAATTTTTAAAAACATTCTAAATATATTTTACTAAATAAGTAATAATGGCGTAATTTTTATTTTTTACAAGATTTAAGACTGTACAAAAAACCTGTATGTAGTTTGAAAAACTTTACTCACTTAAATAATAATTTCTCACAATAATTCACTCATTAAAATTAAATCACTAAATTATTGCATTAATAATATAATTATTTATTATTCACGCAACATTTCCGAGGAAGTGTTGTATGAAGAATGTTTTAAGGTCTAAAATCGTAAATCACGACTTTAAAAATAGAACCTACACAAACAGCAAGGGCTCGGTGCTAGATTGTGGGGTTCTAGATCAATTTGAAAAAATGTTACTCCGTAATTTTACTCTCTCACATAATTTCACAATTTTTTACTCAGTAAAATAAAAATAAAGTACTTTTTACACAAAGTAAGGAAAGGCAATATCTACTATTATCTGATAATCACACACACTTTGGAAGACTATATGAAATTTTTAAAATAGTGACAAATTATAACAAGAAAAGAAAACTACGTCCTCTATTGCTTTTGAATTCAGTACGTAATTATTATCTAATAATTATTCAATTTAATTTAGATATACTAAAAATCTAATTATTCACTATTTCGGCAATGGTGTTGTAATGTTATTATTTTTACTTAAAATTATAATACTTATAATTTAAGTATTAAGTCCTAAGATCCAAGAATCTAGTTTACACCGATTTAGAATTAAGTTGTCGTTGTTGTTCATTAATACTTATTTTACAAGATATTTTCGAAATAATTATTGAGGAAATTTTTATTTACAATTTGTATTTAGGTTTTTGAAAAAGATTTATTTTATTAAAAACTATCATCAGTCGTAGGTAGGTATATATAGTTGATAGGTAAAATGATTAACAAAACAACGGAGACATGACAAAACAAAGCACGATTTCATTCTCAAAATTATAACTTAAGGGTCCAAAATGTAATTTTAAAAACTTGATCTGAGTATAGAAAAATTCTAAACTTCACTAATTTATATAACCCTTACATACTACATGGAAACAAATTTTTACAAGGTTAAAATTTACTGGATAAAACTTTTACTATTCATAAGATTAGAAATATTTACAGGAAGTATTTGGTGTTCTTTTTGGTATATTATAATTAATATAACCTAATATATAACTAGATATCAGTACATATCTATATATAAGTACATATTTACATGAAAAACTTAAAAACGAAAAACTATATTAAAGCGACCAGCGCTGTTTAAAAAACATTTAAAATTATGATTTACATTATACACCAAATTTTTGGTTGAATAAAAATCCTTTGACGCAAGGGAAATTAAACTTAGTGTATTATTTACATTAATTTTTTAAATAAGTGCATTTTATTGTTGTGTAGTGCTTGTCGATAGGCACAGAGGCACAGTCATTTTTTTATTATTTTAAAAAATATATTTAACCTACAAAATACTGTTTATATTGTGAAAGAATTTATACAATCTGCAAAATAATTTATCCATCAAATAAATTATTAGTTTTTGGTTTATATTCTTATAATTTTAAATAAATTATTTTATAATTGTCTTTTAAAATTATATATTGGAATTTTATATTAAACGTAAAACGAATTTAAATTACTTTCACAAAATATTCAGTAATATTTTTACACCGCATCTTTACAATGATTGCTTTATTTTATTGTTTTAGTGATTTTACTAATTTAGTTGTGATTGAAATAGTTTTTAATAAGTATTTGAATTAATGTGTTTTGTATTTTTTATGAGAAACTATTCACAAAAATGTATACATTTCAATGAAGAAATTAAACTTTGAACATTTTTTATTTGAACATAATTCGAGATCTTGATTTTTGTAAACAATAACAGTAACTTATTTATATTTCATATATTTCTTTTTATAAAATATTTTAACAAAATTCAACAGCATATTTATGGAACATTTCTCATAAAATATTATAACAATGTAAATAAACAATTTTATATTGTTTTTTATATGGTGGAATTTAGAATTTATAGCAAACAATTATATGAAAACTATACAAAGATAATTCACTATTTTGTACGTATATAAGCGTGTAGGTAAGTCTTTAAGGGATTGTTAAATTAATATAGAAATATGTAAGAAAATGTTAATTAGATTCTATTATAATGATTTTTCTAGCAAGTTTACAGTACCTAAGACCCAAATCCAATATGGCGTACTTTACTTGTATTCTTTTTTATATTAAGCAGTTTGTTTTTCGTTATTTAAGCAATGTTTTATGCCAATTAAGTTTGAAATGTGTTCTAAATTCGAATAGTATTTTTACAGATGGATTTAAGTTGCGGTATATATGTAAACGAATGTAATAAAATTTTTCTCAATGTTGAGTTTCTTTGTCATTATGACTGATTTATATTTACATGTGAGATTGTAATATATATAAATTTTTCATCAATTGGATATTAACTTGTGAGACTATTGTTTATTGGTTGAGTTTTTAAAGTAATAATTATTTATAATTAATTTACAAAATGTATTAAATATGTTATTTCTTCTTTCATGTTGTATTTAGTTGAGGTGCGTACGCCGCATTGAAGTTGGATGCGAACACAGCTAAAGCTAATGTTTTACGAAATCTGATGACATTAAAGCTATGTAATTCCTTTATTGTACTTTTAAAGGAATAATTATATAATTAGTATGTATAATTTTTCAAATCCATTAGTGTTTTTGCAGTTTCTCCGTATTTTATATATTAATTCTATAATTCAGCTACGAATATTAAAAAAATCTACGAAATGAATTACTTTATAATAGTTATGTATTTTTATAATTTACAATTCCATTTTTTACTTTAAAATAAAATGTACATTAGTATCCTGATATTTTCTATTATAATTAATTTTACTTATTCTATTTGTAAACAGTTTTAGGATTGGCACTATTAGTGTTCTTTTTAAAAATAATTATTCCATTAAAATAATTTATTGTTTAACTGTTTCTAGCCGTATCTGATATAATTAAATTAGATAAGAATATGGTCACTTATTAAATAGCTATAGTTGTGTATGAAATGACAATAGGATTTCTATAAATAGCTTAGAAATCTGACAAGCTGATCTAGACTTTATGATACGATATTTATGCAAATATGATCTATTTATATTTATATGTAAGCGTAATTTTATGTCACTTCGGTTCTATTGACTGTTATTCCAATTATTCGCTTGACCGATATTATACAAAGGAGATAATACCTAATACAATTCTATTATTAATCCAACATAATATATTATAAATATATTCCAAACAATTACATAAAATATTTATCTCGAAATTATTTATAATTAGTTGGTTAAATAATTGCTTAATAAAATTATATGTCTAATTAAAGATTGTGATTGAAATAATATCAGTCAGAGTGTATAATTATATTCGCCTTGTATCACTGAACCGTTTCCTCCATTATAACTATTGAGAGTCCATTTCAACGTACATTGTAAAGATTCGGTGCTGCCCTCTGCTGAGCCATCATGATCCTGTTGGCTACGCAGCGGTAACAGCACACGTAGGCTAAACATCACTTAAACAGTATTCTTCTAAACGCTCTTCTAAAATCCTTGTTGAAGATGGTGTAGATCACAGGATTTAGCACAGAGTTCATATACCCCAGCCAGAAGGCTATCGCGAACGCGCTCGAAGGTATCACACAGTTTCTGCAAGCTGCTTTAAGTATATACAAGAAGAAGAAAGGCAGCCAGCAAGCTATGAAGCTGCCCATTATTAAACCTAAAATTAAAGTAGCTCTCTTCTCTTTTTTTCTCGCTAATCTCTTCTTTTCTCTCTCTGGATCTCTAGGTTTGTGTGGCTTTGGTAATGCTGGTTCTAATTCTGATTTACTTGGTTGAGATTTCTCTTGTCTTCTGTCTGTTTTTTTGAAGATTCGTAACTTTAGAGGTTTGACACCACCACAGCGGCTGACTACTCCTGAGTCTGATGATGACGGTTCCATCTCGGAGACCATGTCAGCATCTATCGCGACGCTGGGTGCTCTGCCCCTTGTCTGCTGCAGCTGAAGCTCGCCGTTCACTGAGAGTGTTGAACTCCTCAGTGGACAGGAGGCCAGTGGATTTTTTTGTACTTGTGCTGATGTGACAACCTGGAGAAGGAAGTGTTGGTTAGTAATGTAAACCATAGAATTAAAATCTCCGAAGGTAGAGGCATGGCATGGCGTCAGCCAAAAATAAATTAAAAGTATGATATGATGTAGGTAGTTGATGAGGTATTATGTATAATGCATTTTCGTATTTATAGTTATTTATTCTATTAGTATGATAGACTTAACGCATTTTTCTAGGCATGGTGCATTGAATGGACTACGACAAAGTTTATTTTAAACGAGCATGCATGAAGACATTAAAACGTAGTTGATGCGAAAGAGGGTATGCTTGAACCGTGTCATTTGGTGTTTAATTGTCTTTGCCTACCATAACGCCAAACAAGCGTGACGATATGTATAATGTAAATATACAAAAAGCTGATTCATTCTTTTTAGTTAAACTTTAAACAGAGACTCCATCTATTTATCGAATCATTGCCATGTCCACAAACAATTAACTGCAGAATTGACTGAAAGTCAACCTAAGTTAGGATTGATCTTAGTTCGAAGACTTGTAGTTAACTTTAACTTGGCTAAGTTAAAGCCACAGATCACAGTTAGGTTCTAAGTGATGGACTAGAATTTACTTGACCTCCTCGGTTCGACTTGTTAGGTATTGATGAAGTTTTGTTGATCTAGTCTATTAAGTTTGAAGACTAGTTTTTGAGTTTATATGATAGTGAGAGTGAAAAATAATTACAAAAATTCAAGCCTGTTTTTTTTTTTAATTAGTCTGGTTACTTGATAGGGACGGAATTCTGTTAATATGAGTTTTAAAACGAAATGGATTTCACGGTATACATGTATATATATTCTGATCCTTGGTTAAAGTTCCGTAGTATAATTTACCACAATTAAAAAATACAAGTACACATGACCACACATCAATCTATACAAAACCAGTTTATCCTGGTGTCGCGTCGCATCATCTTTCCGCACATTTAACGTTCAGTTTATACTGGTTATGTAAAGCTCGATGTGTAGTCGCGTGTACCAGGGTGCGTAAGCGACTAAACCTTAAATTTACTAAATGAATATCCTTGTTTTCTATATACTTTTATGTCAAAGTCAAAGTCAAAGCATTTATTTCAATTAAACTATAATTTGGTACTTTTGAAACGTCAACAAATACAAAATAAATAATAGTCAGTCAGTCAGTCCGTCAGTGAAGCTAGGTGAAGCTAGGTGCTCATTCCAAAATGTAGATTCGAATGGAGAAGAACCAGAAAGAAACTCCATTCGTTACTCTTTTTTTAAAAAAGTATATTCTACAATGTCTCTGATTCATATTCCAATACTGTACTTATATGTGAGAACAATGCAAAGAAATACTTGAAGCATTATAGGTACTAATTACAAACCGTACTAAAATAATAAAAATAAAAATAATCTCATAGTCTAACATGGTGCTCACATATGCATACTGACAATCCATAGAAATAGTGCTTCTATACAAGAAAAAGGAAACGCTTTGTTTCAGTAAAGAAAGAAATGCTCGATGCCATAAGGAAACTGGACTGTCTACATTAGAATGAGAGTATTAAACTATTAAATTACCTACTATTGGAATCTATGTGCATTGCATTCGCAAAACCTCTGTAAAGATATATTATAGTAAGCCGTGGAAACCTATTGGCTTTGTAATAGCATATCCTGAATTTTTATTATAGCTGTTGGTTATATAAATTACGATAAATAATTAAATAAATAATTTTACCTTGAGCGTATCTTTCCGTTCGTCGGGTGGTGGAGGTATGGTGTCCCCAGCCTCGCTCGTGGATATGTCTGACGCCAGTTCACACGTTACTGTTGGTATCTGTACTTGTGGTGTTTCTATTGTTGATATTTGGCTTTCGCTGGAAAAAATAACAATATTTTATGGTATTTATACAAGTAGTGTTAAGGGCGGTTTATAGTATAACGCATATCAGCCTTTCTGTTCCATTAGATAAGGGATCCTAATGATGATAAGGACGTTAAAGCATCTACTTCTCATTCCTTGGATATTGAGTTGTGGACACACTATTTGTGTTCATGACATAAGTAATTTTGATCAGGGTGAGAAAATATCACTGTCCAGCTCCAGTCCATTCATGGGATAGTTTTGGCAAGAATCAACAGGTTTTGGCAAGAATCATACTAGTATATTTTTTGTAAAATACCTGATTCATTTTATCTTTTAGTGACTCGTTGACCGAGTGATCTCAAGTGCGAGTGGAAAGGGGTCTCGGGTTCGATTCCCGGGTCGGGCAAAGTATTACTGGTTTTTTGGAGTCTGGAATTGTGCCCGGTATATGGCAATAGGCTCACTCCCTATGGGACTTACAACATACATAGTGAAAAGTGGGTGTTACATTGTACAGTGGCATTAAATGCTGTAATGTGCACCTCTGCCTACGCCTTCGGGGATAAAAGTAATGTTATGTTATGTTATGTCATGTTATCTTTTTTAGTCTTGGACATGTTGCTACCAAAATAAGCTGATATTTATTTTATTAATACACAAAAACAGAAAAGGCATTCGATGAAGAATCTCAAATAATGTTTGTTAACGAGACAAAATTGACAAGACGTTCCTTTTCGAGGTGGAATTCAGACAATCTTTAGCAACTTGAATGTTGTATTTTGTCCCTGCATTCCTTATCTATTAGAACGAAATTATTAAGAAAATTTTTGATACGATAATTAAGTTCGACAAATAAATAAAATGTAAATAAAAGTATTTTGATTGCTATATAGTCGTAATTGTCAGGAACGTAGTATAGAGGTCCTTATTTTGGGTGAAGTGATATTTGTTCGGTTTCTCCGTCTGAAGACACAAGACAAATAAAAAAGCCACGTCCATCGATACCACACATGGCATAGTAAATCGATAATATTTCGTAATCACTTGAAACATCTGAATATCACTTTGCCATCTATAAAATTCAGAAATAGGCATACCAGTGTTAACAGTATTTATTGAGAAGAAAAACTCAATAAGATACATCCTATTCAAGATAATCCGGAAGAAACCAAAATAATAAGCCATACGACAAAAATAACAAAGACAAAAACACAATTATTATTATTATTATTATAGATGAGAGTAAGGGCAGAAACGCATTACCGTGGCATGACGTGTCGAGGCGTGACAGAAGCATACATTTACTATGGTCAGATACACATAAAATACACACAGATACACATAAAAAAATGCCCCACACTAGGCTTTTCTCATGTATCATGAGTGCGTTTACAAACAAACAATTTCACATTGACACTTAGATTCGAAACAAAACTCTGTGGATCACACAAAGAGTTGTTTCGTGTGGGAATCGAACCCTGTAGCGGGTTGCACAGCATTCACCGCACCAACCATGCAGACTCATCTTGCGTGTCGTCTCGTATCGCGTGGGTCACCAAATGCTGATACGCCAAGTCACGGTAGTGAGTATATTTGTGCCTTTATATTTACCCGTTATTATTGCTAAGATGGCCCGGGGGCATAGGATGTGTGGAGGGCATGGGTCGCGTGCCCTTGGGGGGATTACTGAAACTCGTCTGCTGCTCGTTCTATAAACAGAAACAGTTTTATTATTAAAATATTTGGTCTATATATAAAATTATTTAGCAATTTAGCTTCGTAAGACTTTTCTTCAAATACCTACATACATTTTTATATAGATGTTATTTTTTAACTTATTATTTTTGTTTTTATAATAATTATTGTGAGATTTACTAAATTAACTGAAAATCACGGGTTACCCACGTGAATATACCAATAAGAGTTCGCGGTCGCGGTGATATCTCAGGTACGCTGCTTAAGTTGCTCGCGGAAGAGCCCCTCTGTGGCCTGAATATAGTAGAGCTTTTCTCAGTATATTCACGTGAGTAACCCGCGATTTTTAGTTACCCTATTATAATTTTAATTCCATAGTTTTCAATACAGGATTACAAAGAAATTTATGTTATGCGATGATTATCATATTTTTTTTTGTTTTTCTTCGATTTTCATTTCAGAAGCGAAGATAATAATCTAGAAATTAGTTCACATACTAGAGGTATGACTTAAGTTTCCATATCGACATTTCCTTAAAATTACTAATATATCCAACATCGTCGTCACCTGTTCATAATAAAAGCATATGCATTGTGTGGTATTTAGATACAAAAACCCGACTATTTACTACTATTACCAATATAGCCATCAGTATATTCCAAATCGTAATTAATTGGTTTGTAAACAACACATGCAGTAAGTACCGCAAACTTTTTCGATACACATAGTTTTCTGAATAAAAGTGATCTTAACCCCTTTGTTAGTACAAATGTTTTTATTCTACTGGTCTACTCACAGGTCGTGGTCTCGGGTTCTTCCTGATCCCTCTCCTCGCGCGCGCCTTCGCTGCGAAATATATTCGGATGTACACGAAGACCATGATGCAGGACGGTATGTAGAAACTGCCCAGCGCCGAGTAGACCACGTAGCCAATATCATCTGACACCTGGGGAGGAAGAAAGCGACTTTTAAAAGAGGTCATGAGTTTAATTTAGACTGATTTTTGAAACAGTACATCACATAACACGTACATTTTCAATTTTTTCTAAAGAAATGGCTATCTAAACTCCTAAAACACCATCTACTACAAGAAAAATCATCAAGAAGCACCACTTATCTTTTAAAACAAAAAGGAAATTTGAAAGATAACCTCGGAAGATAAGAATTACCTCATTATTGGAATGATAAGTTTGTGAAGGTCGATCTAAATCGTTGAATGCAAGTGATGCGGAACCGATAACTTTGGAACTCTTTAGGGAAGGAGCTAAGGAAAGGCATAAATGATTACCTTCTCTCAGTTTTAGGTGACTTTAATATTATTATTACATTTCAATATGGAAGTAAATCTGTTTCATTTATATTTTAAGTTATTTTTTGTTATTATTTTAACTGTCGCGGGACGCTCTCATTGTCATTCGTCGTTCAATATTACTCATAATTATGAGTTCCCATCGTGGCTTGAACTAGTCCAGTTACCTCATCAATTTCTAATTAAAATTAAATCACAATTAGATATTACCTAATATATGTTACTAATCAATAAAATTAAACCAACAATATGTATAATGTATAATAATAATACATATAGTTATATAAGAATATAATCAATATATTAATCAATATGTGAAGAGTGCAAAAAATTCGTAAGATTTATTACAATTTTCGTTATGGCAGCGGCGATAATACTAACATTTTACATACCTATTGTACAAAAGCCAGATATAATTCCTGTTCTATTTTAGTGGATTTTTAACATATAAAGTGTTTGAAAATGTATCTTATTAATTGTTATTTTATTACTTAAGACTCTATTAAATAAATAGAGTTCAAAATGTCATTGAGCAGACGAAACTATTTATACTTTGGCCAAGATTGATGCGAAATGCCTGCAAACAAAACATAAGAGTTTTACGTCTCCTCATTTCCTTTGCGTGTGGTCACAGTTCCGCCTATTTAATGACAGTTCTGAGTGACAGTAAAAGATAAGAAGTGCAGGAAAAGGCTACAGTGGTCGGGTCAAAACCATCTTTGCTTTTTTTTTAAATATTGGACATTAATCACGGCCTAAATATACTCTTTTTTTAGTCAAAGTCAAAGACAAAATCATTTATTTCAGTTAGACCAGGAAGATACTTAGTATGAACGTCAAACCAAAATTTGTAAAGTTAATCTGTCGGTCAGTATTCTAATGAAGCTATTTGCTCGATCCAAAATGTAGTGTAAAAACCCCATAGTTTTTTTTTATAAATTTTATGGGTCGACGTTTGACCACTATCTCGCCTGGTGGTAGGCGATGATGCGGTCTACGATGGAGCACGTCGTCCATTAAGCAACCTAAAACCTTAAGAAATCCATTAAGTAGGTTGCGCGACATCGCTGCGACCGCGTACGTTGCTCATGACGAAGAATTGAAGAAGAATAGAAGTGAGTAACCCGCCATTTTTCGTTAATTTCACTCCCTATCAATCAGAGTATTAACTACTCTATTCTTAATAAATTATTATGTTTAGATTCGATTAGTTTCAAGCCATGCTAGAGGCTCATATTCATGAGCAGCATTTCGCGACTCGCGACGCGGCGACCGCCAGTAGCACCGCGACAGTCAAATTACTACGTGAGTAAGCCGAAAACAAAATAAATTATTTAGTATGTCTCACGAAAGTTACAATACAAATATACTCTATTTTTATATTTGATGGGGCGACGTTTGACCACTATCTCGCCTGGTGGTAAGCGATGATGCGGTCTACGACGGTGCACTTAGTCCATTAAGCAAACTACTATACAAACTATACAACTATACTCTATTCTTCATTACATACTTAAGTGTACCTACGAGTTAGGCAAAGTAATATTAAATCAGAACTGTCATTAAAAAACAAATCTTTTTCCTAATCCAATAAGTTCGCTTATAACTTGCACCGTTACATTGGTCCGTTGAAACATTCTATTCAGAGAAATTTAATCTCAACCATTGTATACTTTACAATGGCCATCAGAGATATTGGTCGAAATATATTTTGTATGAGCCACCGACGCCTGTCTGATTGGATACTGCCGTAGGTAATAAAGAAAGAAGGTTTTATGTTTTTTAGGTTTAAGAGAACTTAGGAAAATGTATTGTACTTATTTAATACTAGCTGTTGTACCTACGTGACTTCGTCCGCGACAATGTCGTGGCGCCCCGGAGGATTAAGACGCCCACTTCTCATGCACGAGGGTGCGGGTTCGAAACCTACCAACGGCAAGTACCAATGTGACTTTTTCCGAGTTATATGTACTTTCTAAGATCATTCAGACACCACTGACAAACGGTGAAGGAAAACATTGTGAGGAAACCTGGGCTTATGATTTCTAATTATAAGTTTGTAATCGCCAACCCGCATTGAGCAAGCGTGATTAATGCTCATACCTTCTCCGTGTGAGAGAAGGCTTTGCTCAGTAGTGGGCATTTATATGCTTTTGATGATGATGATGATGACTTTGTCCGCGTAGAATATGATGATCATGGGAGCATTTAATCGGGATATCCTATCACCTACACCAGCCCATGCCCTGCCTGCATACCAAATTTCATCAAAATCCATTCAGTAGTTTCAGCGTGATTGACGAACATTCAAATACCTATCTAAACAAAGAAATTATCACATTTATAATTTTTGTGTGTATGTAGTTGCCAGACAGCTATCTCTTAAAATAACAAACCACCTTTCTGTCTGTCTAATTTTATTAAAGGTAATCTTTGAGTTATGAATTTTATATAACCTGTGGCTATATTTTAGGTCTTATTTCTATTTCAGGCCTTCGTATTGACAATCTATAGGGAATTTGCATAACCGATCCTCAATTATTTGCATTTTGTACTTACAATCACTTAACTTCATCAAAAGTGACATAGCTTCTTTAAATTTAAAAGTACCATAGATAGAGAGCGTCTTCTATTTCAATCTTAACTAAATACTTTAGCTTCCATCACAATCATGCATGTGTTTGTATTTACTATTATATAAAGCGGTAGAGTTTGTTTTTTTGTTTGTTTGTTTCAACGCGCTAATCTCCGTAACTACAAGTGTGATTTGAATAATTCTTTTTCTTTTGGATAGCCCATTTATCGAGAAAGGCTATAGGCTATAAAACATCACGCTTCTACCAATAGGAGCTATTGTGAGATATACTAAATTAACTAAAAATCGCGGGTTACTCAAGTAAAATACTGAAAAAAAGGTCAACTGTCACTCAGTAGGTTGTGCGACATCGGTGCGACCGCGCACCCTGCTCATGAGGAAGACCCCTGTGTGGCTCGAAACTAGTAGAGCCTTTCTCAGTATTTTCACGTGAGTAACCCGCGATTTTTAGTTAAAAATACTTCCGTTTCTGATGACTCGTAAACAGACTGATAAATAATGCACAGCTGAAAATATGAGTCAAAGTTAACGTTACCATTTCGATCTTTTTACGAATAAGGAGTAAACGTGCAAATGGATTAAGATCTTAGAGAGGCGCTGGATGCAGGTCGCTTCCACCTACCTTTCTGGAAGTGATGATGAAGATGATGGGTCATCTGGTAATAGATCAGCACCACCCAAAGCTCTACTAGCTTCGAACCACAGATCTTCTCTCACTATAAAATCCGATAAATTCTACTAAAAATAATCCCGTTCCAATAACATTTTTACCCAATTTACTAACAAAAATCTGTACAATTTCACCCAAAAAATCTGTTTCATTTTAATTATCACTTAATTCTATAACCTCTTTCTTCAATAGGAGGACGTTTCACGCATCCGTGGTCCCGTACAACGTTTATTTAAGCTTTTTTCCTTCTAAATAGGATATTACAAGGCCCATAATGATTTCATTATACGACCTAAAGACAAAGATCATTTTGTGAAAGGAAGAAGTAGTTAGACGATAACTGTCTATGCAATGCAATATAAACTCAATGCTTTTAACAAAACGGTCTCTTTTCCAACTAAGATTTTGTGATTACATTTTGGTAAGAGTTTTTGGGGTTTGGTGTTTGTGTTAGCGGGGAAATTGTGTTGTTATTGATGTTTTGAATTGTTTTTATTAAATCTAGATTTTTGTATTATTTAATAATACGAAAAATGGACATAGGTATAGTTTTGACTAACAGCTAATCGTTAAAAAATATTTATTACGACAAAGTTATTGCAATGAAATCAGTTTTAAAATATTGGCTAGCTAAACTTCTGACGTAGCGTGCACTCCACGCAAATACTGTATTTAAAACAATAAAACATTTACTTAACCTTAAAAAATAGCTTTACTGACAATAAGAAACGAGACCTCAACTTTACACACAGCTACAACAGAAACAAGCTAAAACTATCATCATTACACTTCAAAAAGAAAAACTGCCACTAACATCGTGCCACAATAGCTGTAACTACTTATGCAACTATTTTCCGACCGTGTGTTGACAACTATTTCAAAATGGCCGCCGCAGCAGAACAAAATGGCGCGAAAATAACAATGTAAACTTTATACGAGGAAAAATGGCGGCAAGGAATATTAAACTAACTTTTATTATTTCCTTAAGCAGTAATTTATATAAGAAATTATTAAGATGTAAACTGTTTACTTGTTTAGGAGTTTTTACCCCTCTTTTACACTTAAAGTTTCCCTTTTACCGCCGCGTGATCTTATAATGGTTATCTGTGTGGAATGTGCTAAGGCGTATATTATTCTTGATGTTACGTTTATGACATTTTTATAAGAACTTGGTTAATAAAAAGTTATTTCTTGTGAAATTATGTAATGTGATGATTTTTTTTTGTTTCGTAAAACTACTATTTCAGTAATAATCGCGACACGACGTTTAAAATCGACGAACAAACTTATGGATAAGTTGATTTTCATGTAGTTACTTAATGCATTTAATAACAAAATGTGAATAAGAACAGTTGTATGTCACACTAATCT